CCAGCGATGACCCAAAGGTTTGCCTCGGTAGAGATGGACGAAAGCAAGATTGGCGGTGGGGCACTCTTATGCTTAAAAACCCTTGCGTTCCACTCGTTCCAAATTGTCCAAGAGACTAGCATGGTGATGGAGGCCTTGGCTTGACGATCTGGCATTCCTTCGACGCAAGTGCTTGCCCACCAGTCTTCAACCGTTTCAAACAAAGGCCAAGAGGAAGTGTCGAGCCCGAGCATGGGGAATTTCCCAATGACCAGAGACCAAAGGCGTCGGGTGTAGCGGCACTTGAAGAAGAGATGGGGCCCGCACTCTTGCACTCTCTTGCAGAGAGGGCAAACATCACAATTTGGCCATCCTCGCTTTGCCAATCTATCCGCCGTCCAGATTCTATCTTGAAGAGCTAGCCAAGCAAAAAAATTTACTTTTGGAGGCGCCCAAACCTTCCAAACCATCCTGTCCATGGGCGACAGGACCATCCCTAGGAATTGTGCTCTGTATGCGGAAGTCCTCGAGTACTGCCCATTGCTCGTATGCTTCCAAATGATTTCATCCTCGGTGAGCTCGTCAAGGTGGACCTCATTAAGAAGCATCCAAAGAGTGAAGAACTGTGTGATGTGCTCGGCGGTTACGTTGGTGGGGGTTTTGATCTTGAGGATCCATATGTTGTGCTTGAGGGCCTCCCTGACCTTCCAACTTTTTTTGTTGGAGGCTTCGAAGATGAGAGGGGCAATGTCTTTTGGCGAACGCCCAAGGAGCCAAGGAGAGTCCCAAAAGGGTGTCCTCGCGCCGTTACGAACGGTGATGGTGGTTGAGGCATAGAAAAAATTGAGGTCCTCCGCATCACATGGGTTTCCCATCCCCACCCACATCTTGTTGGGCTCTTTCCATTCATACCACGGCCATCGTAACCGGAGAGCCCTCGTAAACTTGGAGGTGTTCAGGACCCCAAGGCCTCCGTACGAAAGAGGCCGGCAAACTTTCTCCCAGTTCACTTTGCATTTGGCCCCCGATGTCTTTTCCGAGTCGGACCATAGGAAGGCTCTTTCAAGCTTGTTGACGTTGTGGAGGATGGTTGGCGGTATGACCAACGGGGTGGCGGGGTAGACCACTAGACTTGACACCGGTGCTCGCATTTTTCTGGATTTGTTTCAGGCCTTTCTACGACGTGCATTCAGTGGGAGGAGACGTTCCCGTCGACTATAAAGACGTATGTGATGACTTCGTCAATCCCAAGATGATGTGCTGGCTCAGTCTCTTAGAGGTGCTCATCGGGGTAGGGTATGCATGTGTGTTCATATATAAGGATGAGTGTATGTGCACAGTATAAGCATATGCGTTCTGTGTTCAGAAAAAGAGTTACTGAAATAATGACAAGAAGTAAGAGTGAGTCAGCAAAATGCGTTGAGAAAAAGAGTTACTGAAATAATGACAAGAAGCAAGAGTGAGTCAGCAAAATGCTTCTTATCTGAAGGCTACTTTGAGATAATAAAATACTTTATTTTCTAAAAACTTGTTCCACTGAGAATAAACAGTGATGGTAATAAGGTTGTAAGGGTTATATAAAAAAGTAATGATAAGGGTAAAAAACAAAGAAGGCACATTTCTGGCCGGCAGCCTAGCTGTTGTTGAAGTCAATCGATACAAAATGAATTAAAATGTTAGTATTTTCTTATTAGGTCTTGCTTGCATTAATTTAGCAGTTAACGACACATAACTTCTTTGAACACGCATCTAAATACTTGTTATTTCTTATAAAGAAGGAGAGCGTTAGTATGACACATACCACGTGTCGTCGCTTTAGAAGAAAGCAACAATAACACCATAAATGCCCCCAAACGTATAGAAAATTATTCAGGAATCATTAGGACCCATGTCAGGAACACTCACAATTGTTGGCGATTTATTCAACATGTTTTGTTCTTTGAAAATAGAAGTTTTCATTCATCAAATTGAATATTTTTCTGTACGTCAAATTGAATACTTGCAAGGATAAAATTATCAAATCGCTACGTTTTATTCAATCGTTAGAAATTCATATTAGATTGACCAAATCTCCTAAAGACTCATTCTAGGAAGCCTTTGTATAGCACCGTGAGTCCTTTCAATCACACTAGTTCGCCTATAAATACTGGTGCATAGAGAGAGCCTATGCATTGCTCATTGCTCACCATCTCAAATCACTTATTCCTCTTCCATCTTCAACAAAACTTACAACAGAACTAAGGATGTCTTGCAGCTGTGGATGAAGCTGCGGCTGCGGCTCAAACTGCAACTGTGGGTATGCATGCATACTTCTCTCTCTTGCAAACTAGAGTGGGTTGCTACTGAGTAATTTCTTGTGCTGATTATTTTGATTCGCCGGTTGCAGCAAGATGTACCCTGACTTAGAGGAGAAGAGCGGTGCCATCGTGCAGGCCACCGCCGTCGTCCTCGGCGTCGGGCCCGCGAAGGTGCAGTTCGAGGAGGCCGCCGAGTCCGGTGAGGCCGCCCACGGCTGCAGCTGCGGCGCCAGCTGCAAGTGCAACCCTTGCAACTGCTAAGATGCAAGCGGTCGATGCGTCTGTGGTGATTGTGCCGTGTGTCATCGGGTGTGTGAATAATGAAACCGGCGCTGGCCGTCTGGTTAGTGTTGTGGTGTGAATTGTGAAACTATTGCTACCGCTTTATGTTTTTGTGCGCGAGCCTATGTGCGTGTGTCTTTGTAATGGTCCATCTGAACTGGGGTGAATATACAAAACAGGTTCGCGCAAAGTGTGAGTTAACCACGTCTTACCGATGATTATCACTTCCATTGAGATTTCGGTGAATTCCACTAAATTTCAATAATTTTAGTAGACACCGGAATACTTACCTTTCGATCAAAATATTTCAGACAAAGGAATTCAAATATTTTCGAATTTTTTCGCATAATTTTTGAATTTTGGTATGTGCTGAAAATTTTCTGAAACTGAAATTTAAAACCATATACCGACTCTTATTTGTAAGATAGTAAAGATAGAGATAAACATATTCTTTCCTAATGCAGGTGTCACTATATTTCTCTACAATGAACATAAAGGAAAACGCTAAAAAAACTGGAAACTTCCATCTGCAGAGGGATTGAAATAAAGAGGGAGTAGCTTATTAGCTAGACAAGCAGCTCATAGTTCATTTACTTATAGCGTATTTGGTTACATGGATTGACCATAACCAGCCCTGCTAGATGCAAACTCCCGATGTTTGGTTGCCTAATCATCCCTCAGGCGGTGCTTAAGCTTCCCTCGGTCAAGCCCGCTAGGAACGTCTCGCCTGGATGGGTTCTTACATTATAGGAGTAATTGTTATACTCCCTCCGTCCTAAAATTCTTGTCTTAGATTTGTCTAAATACGGATGTATCTAGTTATATTTTAGTGTTAGATACATCCGTATCTAGACAAATTCAAGACAAGAATTTTGGGACGGAGGGAGTACTAATGAAATTACTAGCAGCAATATGTTTTCTTAGAAGTGTTGGATATGTATGCTTGTGATCAGTTTTGGCCTTCTTCCATGACGAGCATGCTTATTTAGCAGTGTCACGATGAAAAACAGCTTGTCCACTTTGGAGGCTATGCCGCATTGGAGTATGATTTGAGAATGTTGGCTAACTATGATTCACCTTTAGCCATGCATCTTGAGCATTAGTTCATTATTCAGTAAAAGGAATGTTGATGACTATCCCAACAGGTAGAGATAGGAATCATGTACTAAGAATTCCAATCCTCTAAAATATCGACGAAAATCATTTGCATCATTAAGACCCTCTTGGCAGCACAGTCAAGTCCTAACGAACCAAATCAGATACCAAGTATACAAGTACCGGCCAATTTTTTATTTATTTTGAAGTCAGCACTAATACAATTTCTAAACATGGTTGTGTGATGTATTTCTCATGGACGGTTCTGCGAGAAAACGAACATATGACTAAACATGGAGCTAGGTATCTCTAATGCATGCTCCTAGTCAATACAATTTCTTGATAGTAATAGATGTAATAAACACTTCTTCCATCTATTAGTGTTTTCTTTCTAAAAAGAACACTAATAGATGGAAAACACTTCTTAGTTAAGAGGGAAACATGTAGAGAGGTAGGAAATGTAAATAGGATAGACACTGGAGTTCAATCTGTTCAACCGAGAGTTACTAAAAGAATGACAAGAAGAAAGAATAAGGCAGGATAGCAAGTAAAATGCTTCTTTATCTGAAAGCTACTTTCAGACAAATAAGTTGCTATTTTCCCATTTGCGCAAATTGATACGCAACAAAATGTTTCTTTTTCTACAAACTAGTTCCACTGAGAATAAGCAGTGATGGTAACAAGGCCGTAAGGGTTATAAAAAATTGACGGTAACGGTAAAAAACAAAGAAGGCACATTTCTGGCCGGCAGCCTAGCTGTTGTTGAAGTCAGTCAATATAAAATGAATTAAAATGTTAGTATTTTCTTATTAAGTATCGCTTGCATTAATTTAGCAGCTAACGTACATAGCTTCTTTGGACACGCATCTAAATACTCGTTATTTCTTATAAAGAAGGAGAGCGTTAGGATGACCCATACCACGCATCGCCGCTTTAGAAGAAAGCAACTATAACACCATAAACGCGCCCAAATGTACAGAAAATTATTCGGGAATCGTCAGGACCCACGTCAAGAACACTCACAATTATTGGTGATTTATTCAGCATGTTTTGTTCTTTGAAAATAGAAGTTCATTCAGTAATTTGAATACTTGCAAGGATAAAATTATCAAATTGCGAAGTTTTATTCAATCGTTAGAAATTTATATTAGATGGACCAAAGCTCCTAAAGACTCATTCTAGGAAGCCGTTGTATAGCACCTTGACATGCAACAAACGTCCTTTCAATCACACTAGTTGGCCTATAAATACTGGTGCACGGGGAGAGCCTATGCATTGCTCATTGCTCACCATCTCAAATCACATATTCCTCTTCCATCTTCAACAAAACTTACAGCAAAACTAAGGATGTCTTGCAGCTGTGGATCAAGCTGCGGCTGTGGTTCAAACTGCAACTGCGGGTATGCATACTTCTCTCTTCCAAACTAGAGTGGGTTGCTAACTCAGTATTTCTTGCGCTGATTTTTTTGATTTGAATGTTGCAGCAAGATGTACCCTGATTTGGAGGGGAAGAGCACCACCACTATGCAGGCCACCGTCGTCGTCCTCGGCGTCGGGCCCGTGAAGGTGCAGTTCGAGGAGGCCGCCGAGTCCGGTGAGACCGGCCACGGCTGCAGCTGCGGTGCCAGCTGCAAGTGCAACCCTTGCAACTGCTAAGATGCAAGCAGTCGATTTGTATGTGGTGATTGTGTCGTGTGTCATCGGGTGTGTGAATAATGAAACCGGCGCCGACCGCCTGGTTAATGTTGTGGTGTGGTTTGCTCTTGGCGCCCCTGTGCTCATGTAACTTGTGAAACTATTGCTACTGCTTTGTGTTTGTGTGCGCGAGCCTATATGTGTGGGTCTTTGTAGTTTGTAATAGTCCATCTGAACTGAAGTGAATATACAAAACAGGTTCGTGCAAAGTGTGCATTGTTAGCTAGAAACGGTGCTTAAAGCATCCCTCGGTCAAACCCGCTAGGAACATATTTCAATGTTGTACCCCCTCCTCTACTCCCATTGTATGTGATGAACTGGTGATATATTTCTGTAAAAATACAGTGCAAAGGAATATATTTCTACAAACCAAACAACATACTTCCTCCGTCCGGAAATACTTGTCATCACAATGAATAAAAGAGGATGTATCTAGATGTATATTAGTTCTAGATACATCTTTTTTTATCCATTTTGATGACAAGTATTTTCGGACGGAGGGAGTACTTAGCAATGTTACTAAGAATTCCAATCCTCAAAAGTTTCCATAAAAAATCTTTGAATTATTAAGACTCTCGCAGCACATATTCAAGTCCTAACAAACCAACGATCCAAAAGGACATAATCAGATACCAAGTAGACAAGTACTGGTCAATGCAATTTCTGAACATGGAGCGGTGTATTTCTCATGGATGGTTCTGTTGGAAAACGAACATATGACTAAACATGGAGCTAGGTATCTCTAATGCATGGTCCTGGTCAATACAATATCTTAACACTAGTAGATGGAAAAACAATTCTTAGTTAAGAAGGAAACATGTAGAGAGGTAGGAGTTGTAGATAGAATAGACACATGCAGTTAGGTCTGGTTTTTTTTTTTTTTTTTGCGGGTTGCAGTTCGGTCTGTTCAATTGAGAGAGTTGCTGAAATAATGACAAGAAGCAAGAGTAATAATGACAAGAAGCAAGAGTAAGGCGGGATACTGCGTAAAATGCCTCTGCATCTGAAAGCTACTTTGAGACCCAATAAGTTATTATTTCCCCATTTGTGTAATACGCAATAAAATGCTTCCTTTTCTGAAAACTACTACCTTTGTTTCTAAATGTAAGTTCAAAATTGAACTGTCAAAACATCATACATTTAGGAAGATAGAGTGTAGTTTCATTGAGAATAAGCAGTGATGGTAATAAGGCCTTAAGCGAAAGAAAGCCATGGCAAGGGTAAAAAAGCAAAGAAGGCACATTTCTGGCCGGCAGGCTAGCTGTTGTTGAAGTCAACCGACATAAAATAAATTAAATGTTGTTTTCGTATTAGGTCTTGCTTGCATTAGTTTCTTTGAGCACATGTCTTTCTTTTTGCGAGTTGAACACGCATCTAATTACTCGTTATTTCTTATAACGAAGGGGAGCGTTAAGATAATGCGTACCACGCATCGTTGTTTTAGAAGAAAGCACCAATGACATCGTAAACGCCCCAAACATACATTAGTTTATACAGAAATCATAAGGACCCACGTCAAGAACACTCACCATTATTGGTGATTTATTAAGCATATTTTTCTTCTTTGAAAACGGAAGTTCATTTCGGAACTTCAATACTTGCAAGGATAAAATTTCGAAATCGCAAAACTTTATTTAATCATCGGAAATTTACATTGGAGTTCCTTGTGCAAATATGCTTGGATACCTCTGTTCTGTCTTGCAAATTACTAATAGTTGTTTCAGGAGAGTTCCCCATGCTGATTTTTTTTTGTTGCAGCAAGATGCACCCTGACTTTCAGAGTAGAGCAGCGCCACCGTGGCCGTCTCAAGGAGGCCGCCATGTGCGGTGTGGCTGGCCATGCCTGCAGCCGCTGTGCCAGCTGCAAGTGCAACTGCTAAGATGCAAGCGATCGGTGCGCTTGTGGTAATATTGAGACCGACCGGCGCAAGCGATCAACTGGTGCTAAGCATGCATGATTGTGGTGTGGTTTGCACGCACATGTGTTCTTGTAATGGTTCATCTTAAGTGAAAATAGAGAGTAGGGTCGGTACGACAACAAGAGCAACTCAGCACTAAAATTGGCGCACCCCTGGTGAACTTCAACATGAACTGGAAACTTGATGAGCCATGTGCATTTGGTTGAAATGTGAATCTTAAATCTTACAGTGCTAAATAGAGGTGTGATCTACTACTATTAGTCAAATGATAATCAACCACTTGCTTGCCGTGGATTTGATCATCTGGGCCACTGTTGTTATCATGTTTGAAACCTCATCGGTCAGCATAACGGGAGCTCACAGGAATATGCCAGTGTACCACAATACATGTTAGATTCCAATCAAGTATAGATCACTGATGAACAAACCACACCAAATAGACTGCTCAATGAAGAACAATGCATGCAAAGACACATTTTATAGATAAAGAAATTCTCATAAAGCTGCAAATATCATTTCCAATCCAGCAGCATGACAAAACTTAGGTAACGACATAGATATTCTTTGGTCATACAGAACACTGGATTAAGTTCAAAACAGTAGATCCTAGCGATACATGAGACATATCGACCACCAGAAACTCGTCCATCTTACTTCTCAACCTCTCCCTCACCAGCCTTGACGTTGTGCTTCCTTGAGTACCTCAGGTTCCTCAGGAACTTCGGGTCCATCTAAAAGGAAACAATAAAGAGGCATATATCAGTAGGCGTAGAAAAACAGAAATCACAAATATTTCACAGGCTAAACTCCCAAGCCTTGCATTAGATCCCTACCACACAGGGTTAGGAATAGAAAGTCCAATAGAAATAAGATGCGGGTAACAGACATACACGAGACATCAAGAACTGCTCTATCACAAGCTGAGTATTTTCAGACACCAATGTCATCACTTAACATACCAATTCAAAAACCAAATCCTAGAGCACACTCTCAATTGCAGCATGATAGGGCACTGCAGTTATAGTTCACATCATACCTACGGAATAATAACTAATCTACAGGAGAAAACTAGAACAAAGGGCCTAGATTCTTGCACATAATACAGTTTCATCCAGAAATAAATGACCCATTTTGACATAGCGCCAACTATTGACCACAACAATTATCTAATGTAACAACAGATTTGAACAACCTATCTGTCCCGTGCACTAGAATCGAACAATGCTACCTCATATTTCAGGGTCGTACTCCAATTTGTCCCCGACAGGTTCACATTTCTAGCATGATTACAGATAATTGCAGGAAAGAAACTAACTAACCCAGATTGAAGGATGCACTGCAAACACTTATCCACGACATAAACAGCAAATCTGAACCAGAAAGTAGGGGAAAACAGAACAAAGACAAGCTCGGGATCTAGGGGCTGCTTGCTAAGCAGGATGAACGTACCCCCTTGGTGGAGGCCTGGCGCTGGCGCTTGGGCTTCTTGATGCCGTTCCTGTGCGCCTTGTACGACTGGTTGTGCGCCGTGTGGTTCTTCGACTTGGCCATCTCCGATCCCTTCTGCTGCGGCTCCTGCCAACCACAAGAGGAACGAGAAACGGCTATCAATTCAGATGATGCGCTCGGATGAGACGTGAAGCGACGAGACGGAGAAGAAGGGAGGGGATGAGAGTTTCTCACCGGTGCGCTGGGGTTCGGCGGCGGCGGAAGAAGGGCTAGGGTTTCGGGAGATGGCGTGACCTCGATGCCTGGTTTTATATAGACGAAGGGCTGGTTTGCCCTAGCCCGCTTATGGATGGGCTGGAACCCCGCCCATTCCAGACCCACGGGCCGCTTACGGATTGAAGATTCCATTAAAGGCCCATCCTACCAGTCAATGTGGCCCAACTTCTTTGCATGGGCTATCCAGCCGTAACACTGCTAAATGTGGGCTAACTTCTCAGGATGGCCTGTGCAACCGTTGGTAAAAGAAAGAAGTGTCGTTTTTCCCCTGAAATCCTTTCTAATGGACCAATTTCCCCCTCAACTCTAATACCGGATCAATCACCCCCTCAAATATCTAAAACCAGATCAGTCACCCCCTAAAGTGGTTTCATACTTGATTTTGAGTGGTTTTGACCCATACCGTGCATTTTTCTTGGGTTGACCGTGCACTTCGCGTCGCAACAGTTGGATGGAGATGACCGCTTCAGTGCACGCGCCCAGCTCGTCGTCTTCTTGGTCTCCACCGGGCTGCAGCTGAAGTACTCCCGCTCGATGCATACGACGACTCCCGGTGCTTCCCGTGAAGCCGTTCGTGTGCTGCTGCTCGGGTCTGACCGCTCGCGCGGGAAACGCTTTGTGCGCCTCGCACCGCCCGGACCGGCGTCCCGCCTGGCTGCTGCAGGAGATGAGCCGCATCAGCACCGCCGACGCGCGCATCTGGCCGCCCGCGATCACGCCCTGTTGCGCCAAGCCCGCATCCTCTTCATCCCGCCAAGTGGCGACGGTGTTCGAGGCGGCGGCCACGCGAGCGTCATTCTCGATGAGCGTCTCCAGCGTGTCGGGCCTGCTGGATGACGACGGCAGCGAGATCTCGTCGGCTCCGAGCTCGTCGTAGTGTGTTGCGGCGGAGATGGCTCGAGGTCCCGGTGCCGGCCTTATTTCTCGCCGGTCTGCATGGCCGTGTCCGGCCCGGTGCCGATGCGCGCGGCTGCCACCACGTACTGGCCGAGGTCGAAGGAGCTCCATTTCTTGCGCCGGTTGTGGGCCCTGCTAATGGCCGCTGTAGGCATCTTCTTCTCGTTCCCGGCCTGGCAGCTGGAGGTGAAGGAGGACGAGGATGCGTCGGCGGAGATGTCGCGCAAAATCAAGTACAGGGAGGAGGTGGAGCAGCTTGGGGCCCATGAGCACGTACTCGACGCCGTTGGCGGGGTGCACGGGGTCGTCGGTGGTGAGGTCGTGCCAGACGTAGTCGGTCTTGTAACTCCGCTTGGAGGACCAGGAGTAGGCGTCCGCCATGCCGGCGCCTTGGAGCACGGTCAGCCTAGTCAGTCAGCG